ACAATGACTTAAAATGTACTTCGATGTTTTATTTTGACATTATTACAAAGTGCACTTTTTAAAAGTCTACTTAAGCGTGTTAAGAAACAGTCATGAAAGTTTCTCTCTTCAAGTGCACTTAAGTGGCCTTGTGGTTCATTAATATTGCATTATCTGCAAGTAGTTTTGTTAGCTATTTTTAAGATTTGAAGTACACGACAAGTGCACATTGAATATAATTAAGCGCACATAGGATAAATAGTGAGCTTAATGCTCTTAATTGGATCGTTTATCTCAGCTGTGTTTGGAGTAAGTATAAATACACATTAGACTGTCGGACGTAACAAAACCACTGCTTTGTTGACGTTTGTTTTTGGTTGTTTTATTACTTTATTATCTAAAAGAGTAGAAAAAACACTAATATGTTTAATTTTATTGAAACATCATTGTTATCTGATAGACAGTGTTAACTGCTAGCTCTGGAGAAATTAAGTTTAGAAGGTCGGGATCTTATTCTCTGGTCAGGTAAGGTTTGGTAAAAGCGCTCTAATGCAGTGTAGATGCTGGAATCCCAGTTGTTTTGCATTAGCGAAATGTAAAGTATGTCAGGGTTGCACAGCGAGAGACCTTCCACACATAGCTCCTGCTTGACCATTGTTTTGCCGCTGCACTGATAGACATTGCAAGTATCAGACGGTTGCATAACTTCATGTTGAGATCCACCAAGGCTGCATTTATTTGACTACAAATACAGAAAAATACAATAATATTGTGAAATATTTTTACAATTTCAAGTAAGTGTTTTCTATGTGAATATATGTTAAGCTGTAATTTATTTCTGTGATCAAAGTTGAATTTTCAGCATCATTACTCCAGTCTTCAGTGTCACATGATCTTCAGAAATCATTCTAATATGCTGATTTGCTGCTCAAGAAAGATTTCTGATTATTATCAATGTTGAAAACAGTTGTGCTGCTCAATATTTTTGTGGAAACAGATTTTATTTTTCAGGATTCAAAGATGAATAGAAAGTTCAAAAGAACAGCATTTATTTAAAACAGAAATGTTTTATAACATTATAAATGTCTTTACTGTCACTTTTGATAAATTTTATGCGTCCTTGATGAATACAACTATTAATTTCTATCAAAAAAAAAAAAACTACCGACACCAGACTTTTAAAAGGTATTGTATGAACTTTAAAAAGGTAGTATCATGTCAATTATAAATTTTTACTACATAAAAGCATCAGTTTTAGTTCAGTTTTAGAGTCTAAGTTTGATACAAGTGTCCAAAAAATGCTTTTTGCGTATCATGCAAATATGAAAACCTAAAACGCACAACATATGGTGGTGATAAATCATTCATGCTGTGATCCACAGAAATCTCAGCTCGTACATGATCAGCAGCATTTAATAGTTACAGTCTGTAAGCATTAGGCTATATAACGCTCAAAGCTTACTCTATTTGTGCAATGTGACACAAACTTTAGTTCCTAAGTTCAAAGTGCAGATTCTCAATATGACTTTTGTTCCCAGGATGCATATTGCTGTGCATTAATGGTTATATGCTGACGACTTCACGTCTCGGTCAAGTGCATGCTAATCTTCATGGTTTAGGCATCCTTATCAGCAGCAGCAGACAAGAGAGGAACTTATCCAGAAACCACAGCCGTAACTTCAGCTCGTTTCACCCCATGCACATACAGCTGGGTGGGCAGACGTGTTGATGCTTGTTTCTGACAGATACATAGGAAAAGCCGTTGTTCATGTTGCGAGGAATTATCTGAGAGTTTCACAAATGGCGGAAGCCGAAGAAGATCCGCCGGTTGAAAACCCTCATGGTCTTCTGTGGACGCTCTTCACCAGGTACTCGCTTCTTCTGAGGCAATCAAACAATGAGCATTTTCAGTAAGTAGTGGTGTGGTTTCACAGAACTGGATATTGAGCTCTATGTTGGCGTGTTTGCAAAGGAGAACTTGGCAGGTTGAAAAATGTTGCTTTTCTGGGATCAGCTCAGATAGACTCAAGCCTGAGCTATTTTGAGCATTTCTAATGTCATTTCTTTGGAGCATTTTCACAATTCCGCTTGTACAATTAGGGAGTTGTTTAACCACAAATGACATGTTCATTTACGCAACCTAATTGTTCAAGTTCCATATTTCTTTGAATTACAAAATCAAATGTTTGGCAGACTGTCCAAGCAGTGCAGATTATTACTGTTGAATCGGGAATGCTGAATCCCTGACAATTTTCAAGCGACAGCTGAAAACTCATCTCTTTCGACGCTACTTGACTTCATCCTAAATTTAAAAAAAATTCCTTCCCTTTCTAGCTTGTACTTATTTGAACAAATTCCTGAAACTTGGTATTACAAGCACTTCCTGTGTCTGTTTGCCTCTTTAAGAAGAATCGCTTTATGTATTCCCCAATTGTAAATCGCTTTGGATAAAAGCGTCTGCAAAATGACTAAATGTAAATGTATATTTTTGTCATTTATCTGTTCTGTTATTTCATGCCCTGGAGAGATTGTATTGGTCAACAGAGTTAAGGTGTGTTCACTTTTACTATTATTTAACAATATTTTGTTGGTGAATCAGTCATTTTAGTAGGAATTTGCGTGCAAGTATAGCAAGAGTATGAAAGATCTCCACACAGTTTTGCAACGGCTTCAAGTTGGTCAAGCGAATTTGTTGCGCTGACCAACAGAAAGCTGCTTGGTTTGAAAGTGACTTCTGTGTGATCTGTGCTTCATGCATCACCAAGCTATTAAAAAAGCCCCTTTTTTGCCCACAAAGTTTCACCTAAACATTGCTGATGTGACCACACCTTTAGAAGTAAAGATTCTTTGTTGATATATATCCAATATATATTTTTTTAAGAAAACATTCACTGTGCCGCGGCATCTACACGTTTGCGTCACTGCTTTCGCAAGCTTTTCTCTCACCTGTAGAGGCAGTGAAAGCCTCCTCTGTCTGCCTCCCTGCCCTTGGTTTTTTGCCCTCCTGGACAAACGCAGCCTGTGAAGACTCAGCGCTCACACAGGCCTCGTTATTTCACCACTCCCACCTACAACCTGACGTCCGTGCCTCATTTTAGAAAGCAGTCTCTTTTTCCAGAATTTATTTCAGGCTGACCTTTTAAGGCTTATGCAGTAATAATTGAAGGCTGACGCTAGTGTTTGGATTGAAAGAAGCAGCCAGTATATTAACCGCGCTGAACACTTTTAGCATTTTGACCTTCATTTATATGCTTCATGGATGCCTAGAAATAAGCTGACGTCTATGTATGCTGGTGACTTCTATGCATATACTGTATATATAAATATAGAGGGTATGCATGCTTATTTTTATTTTATATATTAGCAGAAAAGCTAAAGAGAGCCCATGCATGGAGCCAGAGAGGCTGCGAGTCTCTAGCATGTGTTCGTCTGTCTTGGCATGCTGTTAAATGACTAAAATACTAGTCCTGGGGCCAGACTGGCCCTTCTGGCTTCCCAGTGTCGAGTCTGAACATGCCTTCGAGCTCTGCAGAAAAATTCCAGCCTGATGTTCCACTCTAAATTACATTGTCATAACATGAATTGCTGCACAGCAGCAGCATCCAGTACGTCATGACTTCGTCAAAGCATGCGGTGAAGCAACCTGTTAAGGATAAGCTTCATTGGTAGTTGGCATATCGAGTGGTTATAGCGGTGCCATGCACCGTAATCAATATAGAAGTATTAAAAAACAAACAAACAAAAAAACACATTTTGTTCATGCTAATATGCATTCATTTTATGACCATATCAGTGCAATTGATATACTATTATAGTTTGTTGTTAATATCCAATTAAAATTAATTGTAATTTAAAAAATATGTAGTTTTAATAATATGACATGTTTTGTTTTTAAGTTTTAATCATTAGCTTTAGTTTATTTCCTTCTGGCTTCCCAGTGTCGAGTCTGAACATGCCTTCGAGCTCTGCAGAAAAATTCCAGCCTGATGTTCCACTCTAAATTACATTGTCATAACATGAATTGCTGCACAGCAGCAGCATCCAGTACGTCATGACTTCGTCAAAGCATGCGGTGAAGCAACCTGTTAAGGATAAGCTTCATTGGTAGTTGGCATATCGAGTGGTTATAGCGGTGCCATGCACCGTAATCAATATAGAAGTATTAAAAAACAAACAAACAAAAAAACACATTTTGTTCATGCTAATATGCATTCATTTTATGACCATATCAGTGCAATTGATATACTATTATAGTTTGTTGTTAATATTCAATTAAAATTAATTGTAATTTAAAAAATATGTAGTTTTAATAATATGACGTTTTGTTTTTAAGTTTTAATCATTAGCTTTAGTTTATTTACATTGAGATATTTTAGCAAATAAACTAAATAAAAATGAGAAATGTTGCCTTAGCAACTAGTTGAAATATATATATTTTTTTTAATATTTGATTTTTTTTATTATTATTATTATTATTTGTGTGTGTTTGTAAAATCACACCTCAAGATTATTTATACATCCTTTAATTGAACTTGGCACAATGTTATTATTTTTTTTTTTTTAAAACATCATGTTACTGATACAGTATATAGCCTAATGTAAGATGTTTATATGTATGTATTTACTTATCTATTTCAATTATAAAAATGCCATGCAAAATGCATACAAATTATTTTTGAAACTTTAAAATAGTTTAGTCTTAGAATGGTAGACAATGAGGTTTCCAGTGAGGAGAAAGCTGTACATTTTCAGATACGTGATGAATATAGTGGAAAAGCATATGTATAGATGCATTATATTATTCCAGTAGAAATACAGGAATCATATCTGTGTTTTGGGGGGAAATCCAGTTCTACTGTCCCCAGATGGAGCACATGGTTTTCTGCCTCCAGTGTGTGTGAGAGTCACATGCATGAGGTTTCCTACATTCCAAATATTGTGCCTTGGCCCCTCCCATCCGTTCTGCGATTGGCCAGAAGTTCAGCTGCAGGAGAAGCACAGCAGAGCAAACTCTGGGTTCACTTGATCAGAATCTATGATCGCGTTCAGAGGAGTTTGGAAACATGGTCGGAGATGACAGCGCGCTCGCGCAGAGATCCCCCAAAAACGGATTAAGCTGTAAAATGGTCCTTCAGGCGGTTGGCAAAGTGCTGAGGTATTATCTGTCTCCTGTGCTCCTCTAAGGACTGCAATGATTTCTCTCTCAAGTTCTTCGCAGTGCACTGTGTTGGAATGCGATGGAATGGAACTTTACACTAACTTTTCATTGTTAGCAGCGCACCTTTATTGTGCGTGTAATTTGCATGTTTGCCAGGTTTCTTCAGGCTGTAATGATATACTATCTTTCCCCGCGGGGCTCATATAGATAAGTTATTATTAGACAATTGCGGCTGGGCCAGTGCGGTTATCGCTGTGTCAGTGGACCAAAAGGTGCACCGGTATTTTTAGACACCATATACACCGTTTATATATAAATTATGCCAAAAGTGCTTTATAAAGTGCCCAAAAAAAGCATATATAATATATATCAACAACACAAACAGTGAATGCAGGTCAACAAAGCGGGACTAAACTCATCACTAGATGGACTTAGAATAAATACCATATATATATATCAATAAACAATAAGTTAATTAAGAGACTTACGTTTTAGACACCATATTGCTTGTTTTTGCTCTATTTCGCCAACAAAAATCAAATCATACAGCCACAGTGCTGTTTTGTGTCTCTGAGCAACATGACAGTGTTTCGTTCCTGAATGAATCAACCGTTTAAATGATTCGGTTCAATCGCAATGACTCACTTATTAAAAGTGATTTGCTGCCACCTGCTGGCGGTTTTAATTTCACATTTTGGCTTTTTCTTTCCTTTTTCTTTCTTTTTTTCTTTTTTTTTTTACATTTTTTTCTTTTTTTTCATGTTTTAAATCATTTCAAATATCAGTATTCAACGTTTTATGTTTAATATATCAAAACATTATTTATGCATTTGCAATTGCAGGTTAAATGCATTCATGTCTTGCATTAAACAAAATACATGTGTGTAAATACATCTAAATGCCACTTCAGAT